TGCAGAGTGGTGCAGAGTGGTGCAGAGTGGTGCAGAGTGGTGCAGAGTGGTGCAGAGTGGTGCAGAGTGGTGTATTAGGGCACGCTGTTGCTGCTGGTGGTGGCCCAGAGGCAGACAATCAGGGTTTATGCCGCGTCGTCTCTTGGAGATACTAAAAAAAAGATACTATACTATATAGTATACTACTATATAGTATACTATACTATACTATATAGTATAGTATAGTATCTTCGGTATTAAAGAATAGGCCTGGATAGGCCTGTCGCCGATTCTTGTGCTTTTCTTGACCAGACTGGCCTTTTGATCAGATCTTTTCAACAGACGGTAGATTTAAAATCGATTCTAGATATCAGTTGTTCCGTAGGGACAACTATCATTTATTATCTATCTATCATTTAAATATTTATCAGTTTAATCATCCTCTTTACCACCCACTGATGCCTGTCAACGTCAGGCAATGAAGCTGAGGAGAAGCTAGAACGTAGCGTATCACTTGGCCCAACTATGGGCATCAGCTGGCCCAACTGAGGGCATCAGCTGGCCCAACTGAGGGCAGCAGCTGGCCCAACTGAGGGCATCAGCTGGCCCAACTGAGGGCATCAGCTGGCCCAACTGAGGGCATCAGTTGCCCCAAATAAGGGTATACGAAGCAGCTTGGCCTGGGGCGCCTACATCCCATACGCTTAACGAAGATTTCTGTGTGGATTCTATACGAACCAAACGTGATGAAGCGTCCACTTTATGTGTATCTTATGACTATGAAAAATATGGTAGTATGTATGTGTATTTGCTGTGTAGGTGTTGCAGGGTTTGTGCTCTAAGTGGTGTACGTAAGATTGTGCTCTGTGTAGGTGTGTGTGTGGGTTAGGCAGGATCTGTGTGTGTGTAGGTTTGTGTAGGTGGGCGGGGGTGTTCTGAATTAGGTATCCTTGGCTGGGTCGGCTTATATTCCTCCGTATCCTTGAGTAGGTCGGATTACGTATTATTCTCCGTATTATCCTCCGTATTATCCTCCGTATCATTGGGCGGGTCGGCTTATATTCCTCCGTATCCTCCAGATTGACTTCGGTCACGTGATGCTGCCTGAGGGACTAGAGGTCCCTCATCCCTCACTGGCCGACGGGACGCTGCAGAGCGACGGTCCCCTCGTCACCTCAGGGCCGGTCCTGCACCAGGACACCAACACCATCGTCATCCGGGACTTCTCCTATAGCGGCGACCTGGACGGTACGCGATATAGAATAAAATATTTTAAAAACTTTTTTCTTTTTATCGTTAAAATGTGTCAGTAACTATTAATTCCTATCCTCAGTCATCGCGAACGCTGCCAAAAATTACATAAAGTATTTTCCTGGTCTCATTCAAATAAATATTTCTGTAATATTCTCTTTAAATTGTAATAACTATACATTTTTTATTGATTATTAACTATTTTTAACTGTATTACTAACTAAATTTAACTTAAGTTCCATAATTATATTTTTTTATTAAAATAATACCATAATTTTTCACGATCGACAGACGCCATCTTTGTGGTGGGGAGCGGGGATGTGGCGGCCGCGGGGGTGCAGCTCCCCGACGAGAAGGGGGGCGAGGCTCCCCTCCGCAAGTACAAGAGGGAGACCCTGAGCCTCAGGCTCCCCAAGGAGGCCAGAGGGAAGCCAGTGCAGTATGTGGGGGTGTGGTCCCCCTCCCAGGGGATGATTACCTCGGTTACCTTCCCCCCCAACGACCGCATTCCCCCGCCAGTCGAGTCCCTCGTCTAGGGGGACTCCAGGGGGTAACCCCAGGGGGATCACGGACCTAAACGGGATCGTTGATTCAAAGAGGATCGGGGACCAAAGGCAGACGGGGACCCATGGGGGACCGTGGAGCCAAAGGGGTTCACCGACCCAAGGGGCTCAAGGACCCCAAAAGGGCCGAGGACCCATAGGAGGCCGTGGACCCAATTAAGGTGACCGTGGACCCAAAGGGTTTCGCGGACCCAAAGGGGGCCGCGGACCCTAAAAGGTTCTCGGACCCAAGGGGGCCGTGAACCCAAAGGGGACCGGGGACCCAAAGGGGTTCTCGGACCCAAGGGTCCAAAGCATGCCAATGGGCCCGGGTTGCAAGCAGTATTGAAGCTTCGTTACGTTGTGCAATATATAATATGCCATAATAAACTTTATTTTCTGCTTAGCATTGTTTCACTACCTCACACGCAGATAAATAAATGGGACTATGCACAAATATTGATACATTTGCTCATTTCTATGGGTCATTTTGACCCAGTTTTGCCCTGAAAAAGGGCGTATCATGGCTACACACAGGAAGTGTGTCAATATTAGGATAATATGACCTATCTATTTGTATCAAGCACAACTCACTTGATATCAAACACTTAAAAGATTTTTTACTTGTCGCTTTTGTTTTCGGGCCCATCTAAATATTTTCTCTTCGGTTCTAATTAAAACCTTTTTCAGGTACAATTAAATTCTTTTTCGGGTCCAATTAAATCATTTCTTCGTAGTGATGACATGCCACAAGGTCTCCACTCAGAGAAGTGAGTGAGACTTTGTCCCAAAAAGGAGGCACTTTTTGCCCTAGTGTGGGTCATGGATCGTCTATCGCTATCCATTAGCATCACTAATACAAAAATATAATGGTACCTCCTTAAATAAATTTTCTTTACGAGAAACTTTTTTTTGAGGGGTAAACTGTACTGAAATTTGGTAGCTTTAATTTCTTCCATTTTATTATGAAAATTGTCATCGCAGCCCCAGGAATTTATAATTTTTCAAGTTCAATTAAATAATTTCATTAATAATAATATTATTAATTATTATAATAATCAAACTAAATCATTTCTTGATAGCGGCGCACAGCACGTGGATGCCACTGGGTCTCCACTCATAGAAGTGAGTGAGACTTGTCTGAAAAAGGAGGCACTTTTTGCCCTTTGTGTGGGTCATCCTGACACAGTTTTGCCCCTAGTGACACAGTAGCCCGGCACAAGGACGTATCAGTGACATACAGATCGTTTCTTGGCCTTCTTGATTTGAGAAATTTCGCTCAATTTCTTCTTGATCAATCCACCTTTTATATTTAGGACGGTGATAAATAAGTCCGCTCACTGCTTAAACGCTCACTGCTTAACGGTGACGGTGATAAGTGATAAGTCCGCTCACTGCTTAACGGTGACGGTGATAAGTGATAAGTCCGCTCAATGCTTGTGCCGTGGGTGAGAAAGTGAGTCACTATTTAGAAAATATGACCCATGCATTGTTTTGAGTGTTCTATTTAAGTTTCGAGTTACAATGTTGAATTTAATACGCAAATGTTGTTGAAATCCGTAGAATTTTTCTCTGCGTGGTAAGATAGTTGTTCATACAAAGTGAAAAGCAATAAATTAGTCACCAAATTTCGTCATTTCTTCACATTCACATTTATTCATTGACAATTATTCTTAAAACCTAAATTGACCAATAAATAAAATAATTAATATAATTTGGATAGTATCCTGGTTATATCTCCGACTGAACAATCTGGAGCTTCGTTAAAATGCAGTTTCTTGATAATTCAGACGAAAGAATGCATTCACGTGCTTCTTGATGCCTATTGACAAGCGGAGGTAAGCCCCATGAATGGATTTTAATTAATTCATAATTATATTTAATAATTATCATTCATAATTATCTTGTCACCCAATCAATGTCGCTAGTTCACTGCCATCGCTGAGCTGATCAGCCACGATACTCGCGTGAGACGATGAGTTGCCCGTAATCGGCAATCGAAATACATTAGTTATACATGAAATTATCCGTAGTCTAGAAAATTTACTACAGTGTTCAGTAGTCATACGCCGGGGTCAACAAATTCACGTTTGCGATATCTATTAATCCATTTAAATGAGGGTGATAAATTATTTTGAAAACCTGTACCGTACTCGTGACGATAGGGTTATAATACCATATATGAAATAGTGTCATATGGCGATGGACTGAAATGAATAGTTGTTAATAAGGATAATAATAATCCTTAGCTTTAAATTTGGCTTGAGAATTTTTCAGAGTAACGAGGTTCACTGAGGCTTGCCGTGAAACGAACGTTATTGTGTCATAAAAAATGCATACTTCATGGATTATTTTTGTAAGCTAACACAGTGACACCTGGACTTACGAATTGAATTCGTTCCGTGACTGTGTTTGCAAGAGTGGAAACAATATATTCATATTTAAATTCTTTTAACGCAATTAAATAACATATAGCACGGAATCGTTTCTGAAATCCGGTTTGAAAGCAGCGACATGTACGTATGTGGAGGCAAAAATCTGGAGCTTTCTGTCTGTATTTGGAAAATTTCGCGTTCGGAGGCGTTCGTATGTCGAGGCGTTCGCAAGTCGAGGCGTTCGCAAGTCGAGGCGTTCGCAAGTCGAGGCGTTCGTATGTCGAGGCGTTCGCAAGTCGAGGCGTTCGCAAGTCGAGGCGTTCGTATGTCGAGGCGTTCGCAAGTCGTGGCATTCGCAAGTCCAGGCGTTCGCAAGTCGAGGCGTTCGCAATTCGAGGCGTTCGCAATTCGAGGCGTTCACAAGTCGAGGCGTTCGCAAGTCGAGGCGTTCGCAAGTCAAGGCGTTCGCAAGTCAAGGCGTTCGCAATTCGAGGCGTTCGCAAGTTAAGGCGTTCGCAAGTCGTGGCCTTCGCAAGTCAAGGCGTTCGCAAGTCGAGGCGTTCGCAAGTCAAGGCGTTCGCAAGTCAAGGCGTTCGCAAGTCAAGGCGTTCGCAAGTCAAGGCGTTTACAGCATTTTAATTATGTTTTAAATCGTCCCACGCGATTGCAGGGAGAACCACAGCTTATTTATTTATTGTTGTATCTTTTGGGTGTTTTTATTTCTATTAGCAGCTATAGCGCCACTGCCCCAAAAAAATTTAAAATAAATTAGAATAAATTCGCGTCATGAGTGTGACTGAATCTGCCGTTTACACTTTACACCTCGTGCAATATATGCAGTATTCGTCTCATTCCTTCGTAATGATATTATAATGATGTGCCTGAGTTCTAATAAATACATCAAACTGAGACTGGTAAGTACAGTTCCCCCTGCAATATTTGTCTTGTTTGCCTGCCTTTCTCATTGCAATTACATTGGTAGGAACGTAGGATCACGTTTACAAAAATATATTGGTACCTCCTCAAATCAATTTTCTTAGTCAGAAATTCTCTTTTACGAGGTAGACTATGCTGAAATTAAATCGCTTCAATTTTTTTCATTTCATTATAAAAATTGTCATCGCATTCGCATGCATCATCGCAGCCCCAGGAATTTAATATCGAATAAATGAAAATACTTTTTGTTATCATAAAAATCTTGATATGTTCAAACCTATCTCATCAAAATTGAAAATGTGACAAAATAAAAGTAATGACCTCGGACTTATGAATATAAAGAAATGTCTTAAGGTACAGATAAGAGATAATATTATTTAATTATAGGTGGATGCTATTTGTACCAGTTTCCTAGCGACTTCAAGATTTTGCAGCAAAAGTATTACATCGAATATAACTTGATTAATAAAATAGATTATCATTTTCCCTAGTTAGTTGTAATTTGGATGATGCGTGTCATGAAAATAAGGTACTGAATGATATGTGTTAGGTATTCAGTTCGAATCACAAGCAAATAATGTTTCTATTTATGACTCCCTTCTCGTACAGCATTTATAAATTTGGTATTGTTTAATATTATAAACTCGATCGTTCAGCACTTGATGAAATCGCAGGCTGCACTACAGGTGTTCCTTTGTCTAGTCGTTCACTAATTTATTATCTTTAAAGACAAAATAGGGTATAATACTGCCTTTAACTATAAATTCAAGTCTTTAGATAGTATTTTAATAAATAAATCCATAATGTCTTTGTGATGGGCAGTCATTATACTGAATTCAGATGAACAATACATAGATTGACAGGCATGAGTTCAGTCTTAAAATGCCTAGCAAATTACGGACCAGGCAATAAGTCCAGACGAAGCTATGCAGGAGCATATGTTCAGTCTTAAAATGCCTAGCAAATTACGGACCAGGCAATAAGTCCAGCAGCTATCTCAATCAATCGTCAGTTATGGAAAGATCGGGTTCCAAAGGCCGGATCCCTTGTGAATCAAGTCACGAAAAGTTCAAGAATCGGCAACAGGCCATGGGCCCATGTCTTCAACGCCGACACTTCTATTCTATTCTATGAACTTGGAATAGATTAGTCAAACAAAAAAATTTCACGGATTTATCGACTTTCGTAATTCTACTTTCGTAATTATTTCTCGTGACGGCTCCAATGACTTCGTATGAGATGTTCTACGAAAATCTGTGTAAACATTGTCCTTTTTGAATAAGTTTTTCTAAAAGTTAAAAGACATAAAATGTAAAAAAATTACATAAAAATTCCTCTCTTTTTACAACACTTCTCTTTAACTTCACTTCTTGTCTGTCTGTCTGTCTGTCTGTCTGCTACAAATCTTGTAATCGAAATTTAATACACTTCTACTTATCCTATCGACCTGAAATTTTGCACACTTGTGTAAAGTTGGAGACAATGCACGAATCAAATGTCAAAATAAAAGATTTTAAAAATTAAAAAAAAATAATTTTTTTTAATATTAAAAAATTGAAAAAATAATTTTGCCAGCTACAAATCTTACAACTGATATATGACACACTTTTACCTGTCTGATTGATCTGAAATTTTGCACACTTGTGTGAAGTCAGAGGCAATGCATGAATCAATTAACAGAATAAATAATTTTGAAAAAATTATATATTAAAAAATTTATATATTAAAAAAAAATTGAAAAACTAAATTTTTAATTTGAAAATTAAATGAGAAATTCGTTGTACATTTGTGAGATTGGAGACACTGGATTCTTTGGAAGTGTTGTCTTTAAAAATTAATTTTTAAACGCATATTATTCCTATTTATTTCCACTCTGCTACGCATGTGTACATAATTCAATGCAAAACGAATAAGAGTTCTCCTCTCTCAGGCCCCACCGAGTTATGCACCTATCGATTCATTTACATTTATCGATGACATCTTAGTGATCTTACTGCTATTTTTTCAAAGTTCCTAATAGTAAAGAATTAAAAAGATTGTTACAAAAATTATTATTTATATATATATATATATATCCTCGTTGCTGGAGAGTTTG